ACGCCTCCCTTGGCCTCTGGTGACTTCCCTGTCCTTTCTGTTTTCCACCATCATCTGCTCATACATAATTTCCCTGGTGGTTACTCTGAAGTTGTTGTGTCTTCCTTTGGAGAAAAAGGAGTTAGCTGCATTCGAAGCAGGAGTGAAATGGGTGTTTGGGTCCTGCAGTGTAAAAGCTGATCCAGCGCTCCCAGTATGCCAGCTTTCCCCACTGTTATCCATGGTGTCCTGGGCACAGAAGCTAAGTAGAAGTTACAGCTGTCAAATGTGTAAAATACCTAGCATGTAACAAGGGTGGCGGTGGTAGGGAGTCTTACAGTGCGTGTCCTCAAGCCCTTTGTTTAAAAGCGCACGCGCTATCGTTATCACAACCACTGGGCAAACATATCGCCTTGGCTGGGTTGTGATTCATCGAACTTTGAACTCCTCTCCTCCAGGCACCTCGGTCATAATGAGACCAGGCATCCCTGTGTTAAACCTCTGATGCCCATTCGTGTCTTTTTCAAGACGCAGCTTGCCAGCAATTAGGACGGCTCAAAGTAGTTGTTGCGCTTGCTCTTTTGCCTGTAAGTATTTGTTTAAAACAAGTTTGCAGCTTTGTTTCAAGTTACAGGGACAATCTCCATTTTAACTAAGTGTGTCATTAAAGTTGCCCTAAAAATTAATGGAAGAGAGGATGAGTCACTAAACTGTTCAGCCCATAATGTGCGATGCTGTGTACTGTGGTATTTTGAGAGGAATTTCCAGTGCCAGCTGTGCTGAGGGAATCATGGTCTAATCACAGGGGGTTTCTTCTGTGCGTTAGGGTGCAGAGGGGATTTGCTGTGGTCCTGCATATTTTTCCAAATTCTTTTTGAGATTAGTCAATCCTATGGGATAGCACATCAGTAAAAATCACTATACTCCCAGAACAGATAGGAATTGGTTTTCAGAGAGGCTTTCGCAGACAATGGGCTCTTTATTCCACCCATACAAGGCTACTGAGTAGTTGCAGCTCTGCACGAGCTCCCCTGGGAACAGTGATAAATACATATATACAGCAGAGCTCCCTGTCCAGGCCATGCCTTGGGGCAGACCAAACTTCACCTTGATGCAGACTGATGCTTTTGCTTCAGACCTGATTGAAAGCCCTCAGCAGAAACCCAGCCATATTAGCATTGCAGGAACACGCAAACGAGTTGCTGAGGGAAGCGATTTACTGCTGGCCAATTCCTCTAGTGCTGCTGTCCATTTGCAGGCTCCTGCCCTGCAGCTCCTAGGGTGGAGCTGGCCATCTTCTGCAGAGCAATAATGACTCGAGGAGAAGTGTTAGGGAGCACTGCAGCTCAGAGGGACATCTGGGAGTCACACATCCCGTCCTTGTGCCTCATTTCTTTTGAAGGACGGAGCATTAATGAGGTGCTGCCCTGAAACACGAAAGGAAGCTGAAAAGAGAGGGAAAATGAGCTTTCACTCAACGTAAAATTAAGATGTCAAAGAAGAGAATTAATCAAGATACCAAAGAAAATGAGGAGAAGAAATTCTGTAATCATCTATACATCAACATTAGAAGCCTGCATAATAAACAAGAGGAGTTGAATTGCTCATTTAGGAGCATATTTTAACCTAATTGATATTACTGAAACCTGCCAGGAAGATCTGATTGATTGGAATATTAAAATTAATGGCTATAACATATTTGGGAACATGTGGGGGAGAAAGGAAAAGGGAGGGACAATCTGCCAAAGGATGCGTTGCTTATTGGGAGACATTTGCACCAGAGAAACTTATGCTGTCAAATATTAATGGGTTAACTTATTTTAACAGCACACAAGTGGGGTACTGAAAATGTCTGCTACCAATCCAGGCTGAAAAGCAGTATTTATCCATTCTGTATCAGTGGGAAAAGGTAGATTTTCTTCAAGGACTTCAGTCTAAAGTATATGCAGTGTCTCATGCTGCTGGTACTAAAACATCATGCAGCTAGTACTAAAGGAGCTTCTAAAAATTATAGATTGCTATTGCCTAACTTGGAAATGTTACCTCAATACATGTTCATCTGTATTACACCTCATTCTGACAGGTGTAAATTACTAGTACCCGAGGTGCAGGTGTTCTTGACTTGCACATATTTATTATATGCAAACAAAGTACAGATAAATAATTCTATATGCATGAGGTCCAGCAAGTTCTGATCAAGAAAAAAAGGCCACACTTTTTCTAAAACAAATCTAATTTTAAAAGGTAGAAAAAGCAATTTTAGAGGGGGAGGGCAAGAGAGAGAAGTTTACACTGAATAGCATATAGGAACAATGAACAAGTAGTTGTGGACTACTGTTTCTGAAAATGAAAAGGTGCTGGGGCATTCACAGGGAGCAGAACTAAAGCCGGTGAGGAAGGTTGTGCATGTGTGCATGCGTGTGTCTATCTGTGACTTCTTTAGCTCCATTAGAGAATAGAAATGCTAATAGTGCAGCAAAAGTGCTCTGTAAAGCATTCTGGTTGTATTTGTAGCCACGTCAAATAGTATATATAGGATATGATGAAATATTTTCCATGCTAGCAGTACTGCAGAAGGATATTAAGCACCAAATGTTGAAGACAGATGTTTTGTAGCCAGCAGGTCTGGCTCGTTTGCACCTGAAAGCTTTAAAACTGGGTGGTAAAGAGCTCTCTGAGCTGATGAGTACTTTTTAGTCTCTTTTTCTTCAATAGAACAATGAGAAATAATGTACAAATATTTTGAGAAAAGATAAATGTGATGATCGAGGGGACCACAGCCTCTCATTCTGGCATCCATCTGAACCAAAGCGGTGGAATAGATGGTAGAAGAATCAACTGAATATAGAATTAAGGGAGAGGAAAATATTTAATGCCAGTCATCATGGGTTCATGGAAAGCCTTTACTGAGAAATTTACTACTTTTTAAACTTATTTTTCCAGGAAAGACATTTGTACAACAGAACATTTTGTGTAAGTATACCACCTCAAAATGATAACCTTTCTCAATCAATCGAAGGCAATCTCTCATACAAGTCTAACTAGAGGGTGTAACATCCACACAGTGCAATCTGATGCGCAAAAATATTGCCAATCAATGGATCATTAAATGTTAAGGAATCGTTACAAAATGAGTGTGTTTCTAGGGACTTTCTTGCGCTGGTGACCCCTTCCACTGGTGACCTAGGAGCAAATCAGTCAGTACTGATCAGGTGTGGGTGACAGAGGAGAGATCACTGAGCTAACAAGATGCAAAAGCAGTCAGGATTTTGATGTCTGAGGACAGAGTTATATGTAGCAAGCCCAGGATCTACGTCATTTGTCCTGGATGTCAGCCTCCCTCCTACAGACTGACGACCCTGAAAGGGACTCATTGAGGAATAAAGTGAATGTGAATAATAATGGTCAGTGCAGAAAAATGGTGAAAAATTAATATGATTGTTGGATGTTTTAACTGAAGTATATCATATATGGTATTTGGCTTTGATGACAACTCTTCTGGAGCAGTGTGTCCAGCTCTTGTACCTGTAGCTCTGGAGGGTGTTAACATGCTGGGGAAGGGCATCAAGTGTCATAACAGCAAAAGGAATGGAAATACCATGAATGAAAGCCATGAGCCATGACAGCCATTTGTTTAACTTATTCAAACTGTAGGAGATCATTTATTGGCATGAAAAGTGAAATCTGACAGTAAAGGACACTTTAGGATGCCAAACACAGTCGTAGGAATGTGGTATCTAGAAAGAAGGAAAAATCAAGTAAGATGTACATTTGTAAAGCTAATAGCAAATGACCTCTACTGCAACTTAGAGCGGTGATAGAATTTCTACAGTAGGAATTTTGTAATAAAGTTTGATATGTATTAATGTTTGAAAAATGCACAGCATGCTTTAGACAGAAGTTAGAGATGTTCATCTGCACTATTCTTCATGTAAGCACAGCCCCACAGGTAGGAGGGAGAGATTCCCTTCAGCCAAGATCCAGGAAAATTAGGAAGGAGTCTTGTGGATATTTTTTTTCTTACTTACATTTAAAGAATGTAAATGCAGCTTTTTAATTGGTGGTGTTTGAACTGTTGCCACAGCACATAAATGTGCTATGAGAAGGAGAATCGCTTTGATCTCTGTCCATCCGACAGCCTTGTGTAGTCAGCCTTACACCACTATGATACTGTGATACGTTAAATGGTTCTTGACTCTCTCTGCAGATTTCTGTGGTTGTTTTCCTGTTTTTCAAATGTCTAGCTCTCCTTTATGGCTTTGCTAAAAAATAGGAGTGACTAATGGTAGTGAAACCGTAAGAGTATACTTGTATTTCTCCTCTACTCAGTGAAGAGTTTTGATGTCCATGTCAACACTAGGATTGGTGCAGATGTTTTTAGGATCAGAATATTTGAGACATTAATTTCACTGTTTAGGGACATAGCATTTCTACCAGTTTCTTGTTAAGATGACTTTTTTTCATTTAGTCCTGGATGACTAATCAGAGTAGTATGGAAAATATAGCACCGCATATATGATACAGGAGCACAGTGTAATCCCATCATCAGAAACAGAAAAGAAATGCAAGCAGTAACCTTGCATAAGGATATCTGTAATTAAAGACTGCCAAAGGAAATAGCATTCAAATGCCCACTACCTAATATTCAAGGACATTAAAAGGCACAGGGTTCACACATTATTACTACCAATTAAGATTAAATATGACTGGGACACATCAATGCTGGTTGTGTGTCTGGTGGGGTGAGAATGAATACAGATCACTGAAATAAGAATAAAGGAAGCGTCAATTAGTGAAGCATTAGTGTTTTCAGGGATGCTTTCTTGTCACTGGTACAGTTCTATTAAACTCCAGTTGCCTGAATTTGAAAAAGGGAACACTTTTAAGGTTAATAGCCTCAGTATATGATAACTTCATGTTGACAATATACCTGAAGGCATATTGGAATGGATTTAGGGAAGCTAAATCAGAGCTTAGTAAGAAAGCCATGCTTTCTGATAACAATACCTTATTTTTTTTAGAGTATGAAGGATCTGGGACAGAAGTTCAGAGAAAACACTCAAAATGTGGAGTTTGCAAATATAGGGCTGAGTGTGATGAAGATGCAGAAAATGTTGGGTAAGTAGTAAGCTTTCCTTTACAATATCAGTGAACAAAAAGGTTAAAAAAAGAAAAAATATGTGATCATCTGCTTGACTATGTTTGTTCCTACTAATTGAAGCTTTAATGCTGTCCAATAATAATGTGTTTGATATGTGTCTGTAAAGAACAAACCACCTGCAGTTGCAAAGGGAGAAAACAACAAAGAGGTATATTGGAGAATCTTTATAAAATCCTTTTCAAACAAAGGACCTTGATTTGTTTTATCTTGGCAACAAAGAAAACCAAAACCAAACAGGAATGCAAAATAAATACTGATGATTCATCTCTGAGATTTTGTTTTTTTTCTGCTTGTTCATAAAGTATTATAGGCAGTTGTTTCCATCAGTGCAAAGCTTGGATCTAAACATGAAGTTGACCTGGGGACCTGAACCAGTCACTTTTTCCAAACTTGCTGTGCCACTTTACCTCCCACATTGCACCCAGGGGAAAACTGATGAAAAATACCAGCCGCTTGTCAGAGCTCAAATGACGGATCAAGAAACAAGAGGATTTTAAAGACAATCCATAATGCACAAGCAGATGCACCAAATTTCCCCGCTCAAGGTCCTTGATGGCTAGAGTATACCCTGGCTGTCCAGTCTCTCTGTAGGTGGCTGTCAGAAGGGGCAGAGACATCAAGGAGGAAAAGGCTCCTTCAGACAGCCCTGTGAGTCATTAGAGTTTGTTGGGAGGTAAAAGTAGTCCCATGTAACTGATGGGGCTTTGTTTTCCCACAGCCGTTGTCCTAGCAGTGTGGAAGAAGCTGAACTAGGGTCTGGGCTGACGGCTGCGGTCGCAGCTGCAGAGGCAGCATGTGAGGGTGTTCGAGAGATGCGCAAATGGTGTGTTTTTGTGTACATGGAGGGAACAGCATCTCAGAATAAGAGTGCCTGATCATTGCTAATCGTGGAAAGCATCACTTTCCCTTCTGTCTTCCAGCTGGAATCCATTTCATGTTGAAATATGTCTTAATTGCACAAAATTTTATTATAGGATATCAGCGTGAAGAAATCTCAGTCAGTAAAGCAGCTTAGCACTAATATTTAAGATGTATATTCAAGATTAAATCATAGTGTATAAGGGAAACCAAAATGGTAATAGTACTCATGAATACTAGCATGATACTTCACAACTCATAAAATGTCACGGTACCAAAGTAGGCTTGCTCTTTTGTGGAGAGACAAATGAGCTGTAGCTGGTTTTTTTTTTTTGTAATACTAATAATTTTCTGCAATATTGCCTTGGTCTGTTTCATTGATGACTGGCAAGATGGGTATGGATTTATTTGTTATATACACTGAAATGTGCTCTTGGCTTTGGAAAATAAATCCTGAAGTATTCGACTTCAGTAAAAGCTTGCCTATTCATTCTATACTT